GGTGGAGAGGCGAAGGCGCAGGTGTAGTCGACGTATGCGCGGACTGATGGAAGAGATGCGGTTTGGGGCGGGGTGCGTGAGAGGACCAGAAAGAGTTGATGGGTGATGCGGGCCAATGGTGGTAGATGTATGACGTCCGAAATTGGAAGACGAGATGCTCCCAGGTCCAGATGGTTTGGATATAAACACGGCCCTGACGCGTCGACGAGCGACCAATGCAGCCCAATGATGCAGGAAAAGAAGCTCGCGCAAGAGCCTCGGCCAGCCACCAGGATATCCTCGCTCCGCCTGCAGGAAGATGACTGCAATGCAATGCTCAGACGTCCGGGATTGGTCCTCCCGATGCGGTAATGTTGGAGAAAATGTGTGCGCCGTGTGGATCAGCTAAACACGTAGCCACTAGGTGACAGCGAAATTGTCCGGTAGATGCAGGCGTGGAGAACCCTGTGTGGGATGGGCTGGTGGTGAGGCGACGCTTATGCGTGAGATGTTTGAAGGGTAGTCCTTGCAAACAGATCAGTGTTCCAACGAGTCGGACGGAGTAGTGGCCGGCCTAGGAGATGGTCTCAAACAATCTAACGTCTGCGTTGCGGTAGCTCAACGGCCTAAACGTACGCTGGCGTTCTTCACGATGCAGTGTCTTGGGGCGCACTGGGCGAGCGGGAGTACATGCAGAGACGAATGAAGCGTTCGGTCCGAGACAGGACTGAAAGTGCGACGGATGCTAAGATTGTAATCGGATCGGTTGCACTGGACCGACGGATGAAGTGAAAGGCTCTGTTATAAGAGGCGTGTGAGTTCGACGTCAGTTCACGGCTGGCGCAGATGCTCACAGGGATGCAAGTGGGGGAGGGTGGTGTGGTCGCCGATGGTAGCCAGGCTGGAGGAGGGCAGAAAGAGACGTGGGCGGGAAGTGATGCAGTCGCGCTACATTGGGAGAGCATCGGGCAGTGTGGGAAGCAAAAAGGAAGTAGTTCGCAAGCCACGCCGGCGAACAGACTGTAAATACTTGGACCGGGGTGTTGAAGCTAGAGGAGAAAACAATGGTGGGTACCTGAGAAGTGGGTGTGGCTGCAGGTCGGGCGAGCGAGGGCTGACGAGTAAGACGACTCTACCAGCTCTGGATGACAGCGACCATGCGAAGTCTCCGATTTCCGATATGGCCAGGGCGGGGCTAGCAGTACCCTGTCTGCCATGGTTACGGATCGCCCATGGTGGATCTGCAGGCGTCTGGGCAGCCACACTGCAGGGCAGCATCGCGTTTGCTATGCGTGACCACTCGATGCCGTCGATACGAGGGCGCGGTCAGCGCCAGCACGACGACAAAAACCACCAACTCCATCGTGGCTTCCTGCTTCTTCCTCTTCGGCGCAACCAGATGGCGATTCCCGCCCCGCGGCTCCACAGCGGCCAAATGTCGCAGCTGGCTGCTGGCCCAGGAACTGCTCCTCTCACCCAGCTGGGCTTGGCGGCAGACAGTGACCACGCGCCACATGGCATTTGTCCGCCAGTACGCGTGAAGAGCTGTAGGACAAAGGGGCCCGACGCACCGTGGGAAGACTAACCTTCAGGAGCGCGTTTCCGCCATGTTTCATGCCGCAGGCGTCCTTCGGCTCTTGAGGCGCCCTCTCCTGCTGCCAAATCACCAAACGGATGTCGAACTTGGATAGCCTCACGGCCGGCAGTGTCTCGTGTAGGTAGGTGCTGACAGGTGGGAGTGAGAAGGTTTAGGGGCTATCTCGGGCTCCAAACTCGATCCGTCCTTTCATCTCTGCAGCGCTGCAAGTTCCCGTCCACGCGCAGGGATCTCTCGCCTGTGGTCGATCTTGCCTTGGGCCACTTCACCCATCAGCCTCACTCGTCGATCCTGATCCTGCGAATGGGGACCTTCCCTTTCGAACTCGTGGACTGACGCACACTCACTCAAGCCGCGACCTCGCGACCTCGCCATGCCTTCTCCACGCTGCGACTCCTCGAATCTTACATGTGCGGTACGGTGGGGCTCTAGCGCCATCTCGGTCGCTCCTGCCGGCAAACCTCACTGGTTCTTGCCGCGAACCTTCCGTCATTTTTTCAACACGGCACGCTGCAAACGCTACCCACCGCCGTGGCCGTTTATTCAGGCTAAGAGCACGCCTTGCGCTGTCACTGACACTTCAATTGCACGCTCTGGCGCGCCATACGCCGCGCGCGCGACTGTCCGGAACATTGCGCTATGAATGCCTGTTCACGTGCTCACGGAAGACTGCAATCTTCTGGAAGCTTTGCAGAGGCGCACAGCATGGCTCTGCAGGACGCAGCCATCGCGTCACGAAACCAATGTCGTTCAACTTGCCCGCTTTGGTGCGATCACTGTCCAGACGAGTGCGTCATTCGGTACGGATGGCGATCATCAGGTGGCCCTGGCTTTCGCATCAACCTCCACCACCGCGCTTCGTGAAATGATCAAGGACCACGGCGAACATGCTTCGAGAAGGTTTCACTTCGTTCGACAAACGTCTGACTCGCACTCAGCTTCGACCACCTGGCAAAGTCTCGGGCGAATGCCGTGCTCGACCGTTTACGCGTCGTGCGGGACACGCGACAAGGAGTCAAACAGGGAGCTTCCATCTCCAACGAAGATCCAAACGGCAGCCCATCTTCTAGTGCCAAAGTCCTCTCATGCCTCCTGCCACCTAACGTTTGTCCGCGACATGATCCGGAACGACCGAAAAGCAAGTGCAAGCGGATATAGCACAGACGTCGTGGTTCAAATATCATTGGCCGCCCTATGACCATGTCCAAAATAGAACATCGTGAAACGAGTCAGGGACGATCACCGCAACTCTGCGCCCGCGATCAGCCGGTCATATGTTGACTCTTGTCGCATGTGCCACCGGCAATAATAATTGGCCTGAGCATCTTGCTGTTGCAAAACTCACAATGCACATTTGCCTATCTAGGGTCTTGGTCGAAAAGCAGTCATGAATGCGAATGCGAGTTTAGCGCAAACAGAAACACATCAGGAAGGCATAAGTTATCGCATCAGTATTGAGTGCATTGCGTGCTGGTGGTGGCGCAGCCATTCATGCGATGTACATTTGCTTCCTCTTAGCAAAGTGGTCTTCAACAGCTGTCAGGAACGGACCGAGAAAGCAATAACAGACAGTAGTGAAGCAAGGTTGAACCTGCATACTTGCTCGACATGAGACTGAACCAGGGAAGAAGCATAGTCAGCAGGGCAGAGCGGCACAAGGTTCAAGGCCTTGTGTTTCTGGACACACTTGATCGAAAAGCATGACCCTGTCCGGGCAATGCCGCACCAGATGAGGATCGTGTGAGCACATGGCCGTTTGGGTTGCGACATTGACAATCAGGCGAAGAATTGGTCATCTCCACGTGTCGTATGTACAGCACCCTGTTCCATGCAAACAGCGACAAGGTACCGAGAGTAACATTAACACTTGCTTGGACATACACGACGAAATCGAAGCACATTCAACAGACGGCGTCTTGACATGTCTCATCTTACACTTGGCCAGGCTGACACTACAGACGACTAGCGATAAAAGGATAGTATACACACAAGCAGCTCATCGCTTGACCCAGGTGGGCATCTTTCGCGCCTTGACGTGACCTGGCTTCTTCCTTTCCACCTTCCTTGGGTCGCGCGTTATGGTTCCAGCTAAGGAGCAGTCAGCAATTGGATCCGGAATGCGCAGGCGAGACATGTTTGGGATCATCCAGGGGTGTTGACTGCATTTTGAGGCGTAGACGTGGGCATGTGTCAGCCGCGAGGGTTGCATAGACAATGCTCATGGAACGACAGAACAAGCAATGCTGGATTGCAAAAGGCACGGATAAAGAAAACATCGACTCACCTCGTCGCAGCGCAGGCTTCAGCGCGGGTTCATGGACCAGCAATGACTTCGCTACAGCTAGAGTCATTGCTTCCGCCTGGCCAGTCAGGCCACCACCCTGCACCAGAGCAAAGACGTTGTACTTGTCAAGACGCTGAGTAGCCTTGAGGGCCCAGACAGCGCTCTCGCGGTGATGCAGCCGCCCGAAGAACTCTGAGAGGGACTTGCCGTTGACGAGCACTTCACCCTCGCCTTCTACCAGCCAAGCCACAGCAGACGACGTTTTTCTCCGCCCAACGCCCTTGGCACGCCCAAGCTCATCAATCACGCCAGGCTTCGGAACAATGTCACCGGGCTGGTTGGGCTTCTTGTACCGCAGCATCGCCTGCACAACCTCGTCGGGCATGAGCGCGGGGTGAATGCAGTTGAGTCTCCGCAGTATTTGCAGCATCCTGTGATACCGCGCCGTCTTCACCGGCTCGTTGGTCATGATGCGATACTGCTCGATCGTCTTCCAGGCCACCTTGGGTGCCTCTGCGGGCGGTATAACAGGCAATGTAGCGACTTTTCGAAGGAGAGCGGAGACGGAGAGGAAGTCGTCGGTGAAGGTGGGCTTTGCGCTGAAGTAGGACGGCGATGCTGGGACGACGCGCAGTGTTCGTAGGGAGTCCTTCTTTTCGCCCTTCTTGCCGCTGCCTTTTGTCGTCGCTTCCAAGTCGATTTCGGGGGCCGCTGTGAATGGTTCCCGTATCTCTTCCTCTGTAACCTCTGCACGTCGCACGGCTGTCGTCGAGATGCATCTCCGTACTGTGGGTTGGAAGCTCCGTTGAGCATATCGCATCGTGCGTTCGCACTGGGGCCGCGGTCGACTCCCCAGGGCATCGGCCGCCCTCCAAAGACTCCTTGAAAACTCCCTGCTTGCCATTGCGCCTCTGGTTGACAGCGAATGCACCGTGGTAGCGCTGTCAAAGAAATGCCACCTGCCACAACTGACGACGATGGATGCACGAGCCACCTGCAGAGGCTTAGCGGCTAGACTGAAATTACGTGGACTGTGCACGCAAAGTTCCTACAGCCCCTCCCTCAACCCAACCAGCTTTTTCTTCACAACTCCTGTCTTCCACACACTGATTGTTAAGCTCAACCACGAACTCTACAATCATGTCTTTCGGAAAGCTCTACAGCTACTCGGTACGTCGTCGCACACAGGCACGCGAAGTCGCACCGCAATGAGTCCTAACAGCAAGCCAACAGGGTAACCCGCGTACCACCTCCCTCCTGGCCGTCGCGAAGGAGAATGGCCTCGACATCGAGTTCGTCGACACTGAGCCAGCCAAGGGTGTCTCTGAGGACTACCTGAAGCTCAACAAGCTCGGCAAGGTCCCTACCTTCGAGGGCGCTGACGGCTTTGTCCTCTCCGAGTGCATCGCCATCGCTGTCTACCGTAAGTGCTACCCCGCGCGTTCGCTCCTCCTCCCTGCATAATATGATGTCGAATGAATTCATTCAGTTATCCCTGTCTGAAAACTATTGTTGAAAACTTACTATTCTGATTTGCCTCTACCACATCTACTCCGTCTGTCCAAAATTTGGTGGTGACTCAGAGCTGACGGATCCCAGTTGCCTCGCAAAACGAGAAGACCAGCCTTCTCGGCAAGACCAAGCAGGACTACGCCACCATCTTGCGATGGATGTCCTTTGCCAACACTGAGGTCCTCTCCCCCCTCGGTGGCTGGTTCCGCCCCATCCTCGGCCGCGACCCTTACAACAAGAAGAGCGTCGACGAGTCCCAGAAGGCCGCCCTCAAGGCCGTCCACGTCATTGAGGAGCACCTCCTTACACACACCTACCTCGTTGGTGAGCGTCTGACTCTTGCCGACATCTTCGCTGCCAGCATCCTTGCCCGCGGCTTCCAATACTTCTTCGACAAGCAATGGCGCGACTCCAACCCCAACACTACACGTTGGTACGAGACCGTCTACAACCAGGCCAGCTACTCTGCTGTCGCCCCCAAGCTCGAGTTCATCTCCGAGGCGTTGAAGAACGTCGCACCCAAGAAGGAGGGTGGTGAGAAGAAGAAGGAGCAGCCCAAGGCCGCCCCTAAGCCCAAGAAGGAGGAGGCTGAAGAGGAGGAGGAGGCACCAGCTGCCCCCAAGCCCAAGCACCCTCTCGAGGCTCTGCCCAAGGCCACATTCGTCCTTGACGACTGGAAGCGCAAGTACTCCAACGAGGAGACCCGTGAGGTTGCCCTCCCCTGGTTCTGGGAGAACGTCAACTTCGAGGAGTACTCCATCTACAAGGTTGACTACAAGTACAACGATGAGTTGACCCTCACCTTCATGACCGCCAACCTGATCGGTAAGTCAAATCACCTGCAACTTATATAGTCACATTGCTAATCCCTCCAGGTGGTTTCTTCACCCGTCTCGAGGCCAGCCGCAAGTACCTCTTCGGCTGCTGCTCCGTATACGGACAGTCCAACGACTCCATCGTCACCGGTGCGTTCATCGTCCGTGGCCAGGATGCTCTCCCCGCCTTCGATGTCGCCCCCGATGTCGAGAGCTACGAGTTCACCAAGCTCGACCCCACCAAGGAGGAGGACAAGGAGTTTGTCAACGACCAGTGGTCGTGGGACAAGCCCATCACCGTCAACGGAAAGTCCTACGAGTGGGCTGACGGAAAGGTGTTCAAGTAAACGCTTCGCCTTCTTTTTGAAGTGTTTGCTTTGATTTATGATGCGGATGATTAACGAACTGGCATGGGTATGGATAGGATGACGGATGAGGATTCATGAGATCACGCTGGGCAGCCCTGGTGGATCAGTGATACTGCCATAGCCGTTAGAGGCTCAAAATGCTGCACAAGAAGTTCATGATACCCAACACATAATATTGTCTCGATACTGTGACGTCTGTTCCAAGGTTGTACTTTTGCTCTGCTGGTCTCGTCATGTGCATGTGATAGATCTCAAGCGCTTCCAAGGTTGTATGCGACTGCGTTCCTTATCGCGCACTCAACAGATAACGAAGAGTTTGTCTTCCCTGACACTACGTTGCCTAGCAGGTGTCAGGTGTTCTCAACCCCAGATCTGGGCTCGAACTGGGGTGGGGCCAACAAAGTCGTGGCTTGTCGAGCCGAGCCTATCATTGGTTGTAAGAGACAAGGAAATAGCCCTAGCCAACCGCCGAAGCCGTCCAACGAAGGCTGGAAAGAACGGCGGCGTGGGCAAGCGCATGAGGCACATGCATGTCTTTGATCCTCGAGTCCTCACCTCGATCTCCATCTTGTCAACTTCTACAACACTGAACCGCGCCGAGATTGCGGCCCCGCGACGGAACTATCACGGTGACATTCGCGCGCACGGCCAAACACAGCCATCATCACAAGGCACGCCTGAGCTGAGCGCGGGCGTATTTGTCGTCATTCGCACTTTGATTTGCGACAATCGGTACCTTTTTCGCACAACGGAGGAAGAGCTGGAATCGGAACATCAGGATTAGCGCGACAAGAACCGCGCAATCATTGTGCACATAATTCCGGCTTCCTGCGTTATCAGTTGGTGGATCGTGCTCCGGACGACGGAACGGCGGCCATCGGTTCACGCAAGTGTAACGTGCAACGGTAACAGAACAAACTGGTGATCTGGCTTTGCGCTACGGAAACGCGACGCAAGGATTGAGCACAAGAGTGGTTTCCGGCTTTAAAGGTGGGAGGTGCGAAGAAGAGGGAGAACGTCCTCGTTGAGTCTTGACGCAAACAGAAGATTCTAAGGAAAGAGAAAGTGTGTTTTGGGACAAAGAGCAAGCAAAACCGGATTGTGTTTGTGCATCTTAAAACAGCTTGGGGAAGAGAGGCTAAGAAAATTTATCAGTTGAACTGGAAGAGGAAGACAAGAGGAACACCAAGGGAATGAAAGAAGATAGCGCGAGGGTGGTGAGGAGATCATCTGGAAATTCGGGGGAACCTGCGATTCAGGTCATCTGTCTGGTAGGTCAATTTGTGCTGGTTGTATTTGTCGATGTGGCTAGAGGCGTTCCCATGTATGCATCGGATGTCGCCAATCGTGCAGGTCGACAAGCAGATGTGCCGTCTTGCAGTAGAGGCTAACACGAACAGGGCTCTGGAGGTGGACCAAGCGAAGACAATGTCACGGGCTTCCTCGTTCGATCAACAGCAACAAACTGGGCTAAGAACTCCGTCATAGCTGTGGATGCAGGCTCCCACCTTGCATCGATTACCCGCATACTTGCTCAGGACTTCCCGCTTGTCTCCGACCCAGATCCGCCGTTATCGACCCCACAGAACGGTAATGGAAATGGGAATAGCAGTGACACGCATATAGAGTCGCCGTCGCCAGGCACTGGGCATGTCTCGCTCTCCGACGAAGATTCTGGGCCTGAGACACCAGATTCTGAGCAGGATGTACCCGTCACAATTACTACGCTGAAAACTGGCGCATTCGCGGGATTACCTTTCCCACATCTAAGTGCCAGGGCAAATGCGCTACATGTTGTGAGAGAGCACATTTCGACTTATCTCATCACCCATCCACATCTCGACCATGTCTCGGGCTTCGTCATCAATACAGCAGCTTTTCACAATACATCTCGACCCAAGCGGTTAGCAGCACTACCATTTACCGTCAACGCGATCAAAAACCACATCTTCAATAACATCATCTGGCCTAACCTTACGGACGAAGATGGAGGCGTGGGACTAGTAACATTCCAACGGCTTGCAGAAGGCGGTAACATTGCTCTGGGTGAAGGAAGCTCAAGAGGCTACATCGAAGTGTGTGACGGCTTAGGAGTCAAGGGCTTCAAAGTAAGCCATGGCCACTGCATGCAGGGACCTGGCCATGTACACCGCGGATCGAACGCCAACCTACTGGAGACCTCAGATCGGCAAAATGCCAACCCTTCTCAATCGTATGGTCAATCAGACGGACTTGAAGGTCGTTCACAAAGCTTCTCCATGACCACACAAAGCGCACCCGGCACTCCAGGTTTTAGCGGAAGCACAGAAGCCGGCCGACGAGCCAGCGGTGTCACAGTCCCTCAACCCCAGCAACCGCAATCCCAAGATCACTGTGTGATCGACTCAACCGCCTACTTCATTCGCGCCGAATCTACCCTCACGACCCCAAAACGCGAGATCCTCATCTTCGGCGACGTTGAACCAGACTCCCTCTCACTTTCCCCACGTACACATCAGATCTGGACGGAAGCAGCTCCGAAAATCGCGGCTGGCACGCTAAAAGGCATCTTCATAGAAGTCTCATATACGAACGCGCAAGCCGACGCCGTACTTTTCGGACACTTAGCACCCCGCCATCTGCTCGAAGAGCTCAGCTCCCTCGCGGCCATGGTAAAAGACAGCAAAAAGCAGCACGAGCGCGACAAAGAAGAGCTCCGCTCACAGAAGAAAAAGAAGCGGAAGAGAGCCAGTGCAAACAATAACCTACAGCTCGAAAGTCTGACGTCTATCGAGGGCGGTAGGAAAGCCAAGATGGGCGGTTACCTAGGTGGAGTAGGCAAAGGGATAGATTCCCCAATTTCGACAACAAACCACTCGCAGACCGACGATGAGACAATGAGCGACTTCCCGCTTTCGAGAGGTGACACGGGGACGAACACGCCTGTTCCTTTCCCACCGCCACTGCAACATCATCAGTCTCTCCAACGGAATCAGGATCAACCACAGGATCAACAAAACGGGACCCCCGGGCCCCCTCCATTTCATCCTTCTGCACCAGCAGCCTTCGGTCTGTCATCCGTCTCAGCTGAGCACAACCGCGCCATACTCTCCGCCGCATTCGATTCTCCGCTCAAAGGCGTCAAGGTCGTTATCATCCACGTCAAGGATTCCTTCATGGATGGGCCGCTGGTTGGGGATCAGATTCTGAGGGAGCTGAGGGAAGGGGAGGAAGCGCTGCAGGAGCAAGGGAAGGGCTTGGGGTGTCAGTTTGAAGTTAGCGCTGCGGGAGAGAGTTATTGGTTCTGATGGCATTTGCGTAGGCTGGCAAGATTGGATTCAAGATGATTGGGCTAGAGAGGGGTGTGGTTTGGCGTTCTTAGGAGTGAGCTTCGGCTTTGTCTTGGGGAGGTTCTTGGTTACTTGAGGGTTACGATATATGTATGTGTTTGGGCGGCTACTCTGAGTATTTGGGGGAAAGCGCGTTAAGGGTTGGGGATATATGTAGCATCATGAGTTTTGATATACCACTGCACTGCCTCTGTTAACACCGCAGCCATCGCATGAGCTGCTGTCTGCGTTTAACCCTCATCCATAACGTACCCAAACCAGTCCAGTACCAATACTTCCTACATTCTTCACCACTACTACATCACCTCCCAAACACAGCTTCCCTCCGCCTCGTCTGCCGCCGTAGCCACCACTCCATCCCATCAACAAGCGCCCTATTCCCAATCAAAAGCGCACCCTATCCACATCGTTAGCTTCATACACAATCCTACTCCTACTCTAATATAGCCTCTCTCAACTCCAACAAACATACCGGTATTCCGACAAACCACCACCCCGCAATCCACATCGCCGTATCCACCGTATAAAACGCGCCCACACACCCGCCAGCCCATAGATTCACCGTCGCACAGCTCATCAGTGTCCGTGTTAGGGGCGCGAAGCGGTGCCGCGCTCGGGGCCGGTGCCAGAGGAAGAGCATGAGGGTGTGGAGGAGGATGTTTGACTGTAGTGATCAGTACTTCTGTTCCGAGGAGTGTGGTGGAGTATATGGTGTTTAACATACGGGAATGAATACACTGGTAATGTAAATTACATTGAGGTCGTGGATGTTCAGCCCACCGATAGCCATGAGTGCGCTGCATGCGTAGGCCATCACCGTGCCGGTGGCGATCCAATACGGTATTGGATTCCAGTTGTCACATGCTATGCGTGCTGTCCGGGTACGTTGCAGCACTAGGTCTGAGTCTGTGCTTGTCGACATGGTGGACTGGTTATACGCGAGATGGTGTGGAGAGGGCGTGAGGGCATGCGCGATGGTGCGAGTTGCGAGGTGAAGGTAGATACATGGCGAAAGACGCCAGTGGTCGGCCACATGATAGATCAGCTATTACGCCGTTACTTTCTGGTGTAAAGGGCCTTGACTACTTGTGGTCGTTGTTCGTCCCTGAACCGGTTTGACGATGGGCTCCTGGAGGGTACCATGGTACTTGCCTGGAATGCCGAATGAGCGAGACGCCTTCTCTCGGTATATGCGCAGGTTTGATCGTGTTCCCCGCATTCGAAATCTATGTTCCATTTCGTGACTCGTTCTTTCTAATTCAGTAAAACAGAAAGCGTGCTCACTGCACATGTCGTGTTCATCGTCAATGTATCCCTCATCGTCATCACCAACACCACCACCACAATTACCACCCCTATCAATAAAGAAGCTATCGAAAATGTATATCGATAAAATAAGCGATCTCGAGGATGCGATCCTGCTATCCCGTCTACCCGATGAAGAGAGCGCACGCGATGCATCACCAGCCGCACAACTACCACAGCCCGAGAAGCCGCGCAGCAGCGCGGCCACCACCACAAGACGATTTGTACTGCTCGCAGCCATTGCGTTCTACATCGGAGCTGCTGTGGGAAGCTATTACGTCGATGATATGGAAGAAGTCTTCCTCTTGCTGTTGTGGATTTTCAGGATACCTGTACGCTCATTCCCCGACAGTTTTGTTCACCTTCATTCATGGTTCTTCTTGTTCTGGGCTAACCTTCATGTACCGATAGATGACCATCGTCTGTCTTTTCGGAGGCTTTATCCTGACACATGAGAACGTCCCCAAAGATACCTCGCTGCTCGCGCGCTGTGCAATACACTTCTTAACAGGGGGTACCTACATCGCCAGCTGTGTCTGGATATACATGGCGCGAAAGAGAAGTCCGGAAGAGGAAAAAGGTAGCTTTGGGATGGATATGGCCGGATATTGGTTCTTCATCTTGCCGGTAAGTAACCTTCGTCCATATGAGGGGTGATGCAGGGGTGGCACAATGGTATGCTTGCTGACGCGTTTCTTGCCGACAGATGGGAAACTTCGTATTGAACCTGGCCGTGCTGCTAGTTGTAACAGTATGGAATAAGCGAGACGATAACACAGTACCCGAGTCACGAGCCGGGGAGGCTTGTTGCTTGGGAATGATGGTACGAGCAAGATGAACAGGAAGCAGAAGAGTTGATGGAAACATGGGGTTACCGATCGAGTAACGCGCGTTCCCTCGGCACATGGACATTTACTCGTGCGTTGTGACTTGGCAGTAGCTTTCACAATGAAATTGAGCAGTAAACATCTGATTGTTTCATTGTTTCGCGCAAAAGAATCCAAGCCTTTCCACCACATGCATTGCATTAATCACCCAGAACTCTTCCTCACACGATGCTACCACCATATTTAGCACATAACATGCATTTCAACTATGGTAGCAACTTAGGAAGCAGGTATGCCGAAGAAGGCGACCTCGAGTCCGCGTCCTCCTCACCCCTTCAATATTACACGGAGAGCCAATTCCGCGCACTGCTGCCCACACAGCGCGAACAGATTCGAAAGTCACACCGGCGCTCGTTCATCCGGTCACCACCAGCAATCATGATGCTTTTGACATTCCTTAGCGTAGCTGCCGCAGCACTTTATAAAATGAATCACGATATCACGGAGGCCATGTTGATGTGGGCCACCTTCGTACCAGTAAGTCTCTTCTCTATGCCCCGTCTCTTATCTAGCTACGCCAAACCCATATGAAGAAGTTCTTACTAATTCATGTGAGCAGATGGCGGCGATACTATTGCTGCTGGGGTGCTTGATTGCACACCATAAGCTTCCTAAGGATATGTCGTATTCCGGTCGATCTGCTATTCATCATTTCACTGGGATAACATACGTTGCAGCCTGTATCTTGGCGTATATGCTGCAACAGGAAAATCCAGACGAAAAAGGAAACTTTGTGTTAGCAATAGGGATGTCTTGGTTCTTTGCTCTGCCGGTAAGTCTTTCCCTTCTGCGGCAGCGGAGGAAACATGTTGGGCGCATTGAACGTTAACTAACGCATTTGTTCGTCCGCAGATTGGGTTCATCATCTTGAACATCGGAATCGTGTTGCTTGCCAACGCGTGCAAAAAGACAGAAAACGAACAGTCGTCCTAATCATCAGAAGACAAGGGGTCCTTCCTGTAGTTGTTGAACGGTTGTTCTCCCAAAGTGTAAGGAGGAAGAAAACGAGTTGATCACGCGAGGTCAGGTGAGTTTCATGAGAGGGTATTGAACAGATCACGAAATGAATGTTTTGGTGTTGTAGCACGCTACTGTAGACGGCTCTGAGGACGTTTCGGTAACTTTAAGCATAAGTTCGCTGCCTGTTATTGGGTTAGCAATGTGTGGATAAGAACAGGAATAGGAACTAGCGTACGCGTATAATTCCTTGCCATCGTCATAGGGGCGCGCAGGCGATCCAGCATCAACCTCCTTGTTCACTGCCGCCCGGCTTGAGATCGACCTCTTTCTCTCCCCATAGATCGAGGCCGAAACCCAAAGCAACCACATGATCCCGGCAATGACTCCATATGCGATGATCTGGCCTTGACTGGGAGCAAATCCGGTAAATGCGGGTGCGTCCGATGCAAGCAGCAGGCCAAGACCACCGTTGATCATACCAAGCGTGATGAGGATACGTCCCAGCCAGAGGTGACCATACGACCAGATAGTTCGGCGACTGTACTTCTTGAACTTGAGGTGGTGGACGAAGCCAAGAATGGGTTGGAAGAAGAGCAGGACAAACACGATGATACCAATGATCGGGTGGTAGTTGTCGAGCATGTTGACTGGGATGTTGTTGATCATCCACACGCCGAGACCGAATGCTGCGATGTACACAACATATGCGAAGAGCTGGAATATGCCATGGACGATCCAGACACCGCGAAACGATCCTAGTCGTATAAGAATCGATCCAACGGGGAAGAATAAGACAAAGGCCAGGGCTGCGAGGACACCATGGGCTACGATGATCTTGTGTCGTGATTCCGATGAGAAGCCGCCACGGCCGCCGCCAAACGATGAGCCGAAATCGTTGTCGCCGCTGTCACTACCTCCTCCGAATCCGCCTGGACCGTATTGACCACCGGGGCCGTACTGCGCAGAAACTGTGGTTGCTGCTATCATCTCATCAATTTAGTCCTCGATTTCCAGGATTGGCTTCATACCTAAGCTAAGCAGCGTCGCTCGTGTGCTAAAAGTCATAGTGAAGATGTGGAATGAGAAAGACCAATGCAAGCTCGATTTGAAGGCCTACAGATGGATAGAAAGAAATATTGGCTAGTTAATCTATTCTTACCTGCGACGGCTGATCTTACAACATCATCCACGACACCAAGCCGAATAGCCCCAAATCGATGATTCACGTCTGGAAGTGACACAAATGACGCTGTTTGGAGCAGAAAATGGTCGAGCTTACGCGTTTCCGCAGCTTTTTCGTGTGTTTCGAGTGGTGGACATTGACATGCTAGTCTGACTTGGGGCCGGGGTGCACATGGTGGAGAGCCGGAAGTAAGATGTCGGCGAAACATGTTGGGAAAGCACCGACTCTCATGATGTGACGAGTGCCTCAGGCAGAAGATGTCGTTGACGTCGATACAGGATTAGTAAGGTCGTCTCATGGAGGCCTGGATGGTTCAGCTTTCCTGAGCACGTGTTTCCGCGACATGCCTGTAGCCTTGCGCAGGCACGCGTCTGACTCGCTTGACTTGGCTAGCATTAGCATGGTCCTTCGCTCGCGGGTGTAGGCAGCGACTAGGCGACAAATCGTTGAAGCTGCTATTCCAGGTTTAATGCGAACATGGCCGCTGGTCGGGTGCCGAACTGATAGCGAGAGGTGCGATCGCGATTACTGGTCACCCGTGTGGCTAGTGTGGCAGATGACGTGAGTAATGACCTTGGGAGCCTGTGCGAATGTCTTTCTCATCAAAAACTTCATCCCATGTTAACACATAGTATAACTTCCGGGTTCACGTTCACCGTCTAGTCGACATGGCGGTCGGCAACGTGATGTGGCATCCCCACGCAGCGCATCCCGTCGCCCTCGACCCCATGGCGGTCAGAGCGCGGTCGAGGTTTTCCATGCGCCCTCCGCGATCCTGGGCTGTCGCATGGCCAGGCACATGTCGGTCGTTCAACAGGTACAAGTCCTGCATGCGCTTGTCTGTAGTCATTTGTCCCCTGAGTTCGCGGTGACTGTTGCATAGCCCCAGTTTGCAAGAGTCCCGTGGTAAGAAGAGAAGGCAGAATAGCGCACCGCCACGGTTGTGCACATCACGCGCGCGCCCTTTGTCCGTATACATGTCGTCAGAGTTGTGAGTCGAAGAAGCAAAAGAAGGTGAAACAAGGAAATTGCGCTGAGTTGGAGCAAAGAGAGGTGAAGACTCTGTGGAGACATGAGTTGTGCATGCCCGCCGCGAGGATGACTCCTGCAGGTCCCGAATTTCGGCGATGCCATGTGACCAATCATGGGCGGGCACGGGTGCAATAGTGGGCCCGCATTCGCTGTCATCTAGGCTGTGATCTAGCATCTTCCTTCTCCCCGTCACACCATCGTGCGGCTCTGAGTCACTCTGCAGCCTACTGACATCCTTGACTTAGCTTGTACCTGCATACGTGATTCAATGTCATCCCATGTATATAAGGCTGGGTAGGTATCTTGCTCCAATGCTTGACTCTCCTGAGACTATCAGCCGCCTTTGCGGCTTTTCGCCCCACCACTCTCCATCTCCCCTCAACCCTATTATTACTTATTCACACATCCACAAGAACTTGAAATAGACGACATGGGCAAACGTCACAACAGAAAACGAACTAGAAGCCGTCCTCGGAACCGCAACAACAATCACGACAATTCACCTCCGCAGGTCATCAACCACACTCGGAGCGAGTCGGTCAGCACTACCTCTTCAACTCTCTCCGCAACCAGCTCCTGCTTCCACCCTCAAAGCTATCCTGCGAGTGCCGATGCGAACCACTGGCAGCAAACTTACACCGCATGGCAAACCCGACTTCGACTACAACAGGAGCAGGAGCAAGAGTTGGAGACTCAACGACTGCGCATTTTTGGTGGACTACCGGAGGATGAGAGGACCTTGATGGAGCCGATGCTCAAGGTGGTCACGGATCTTTTCGATGGTTTCTACGATTACGAAGACCCGTGATGATTAGAGTGCTGGTTCTTTGCACATCTCTACTCCTACGCATGGGTTTCCATTTCAACGGACGATACATGTTTTTACGACGAACACGACACGAATTAACGACCAAACCAACGATGACTCTGGTAGCCAGCCGGAGGCGTGGGACAACATCTGGGCACGGACTCGTAGCAGATCAGACAGCACCTGCGTCGGCCCAACTGGGCCGGCCCGCAAGCGCTATCTGGTTGGTTCAACATTGCTCAGCCCTAGGACTCCGGCTTCACGCATAGGCGGCGGAAGCGAAGACAATGGTGGAAGAGACAGCTAGATGCACGCCTCATGCTTGTACTCGCTCGAGTCCCGAACTCGCGTGTATATGCTGTTGGCTAGAGCGTCGCTGTCTCTGAGAACGGCGGAAAGGAAAGAAGGACGCGCATGCGTATTGGTGGAGGAGTCATCTTGCTTGGAAGGAACGGTGTACATCTGCAGCTCTCTGTAAGGCAGACAAATGTCCGAGTAGTTTATCAATATTTCTTTAATTAATCTAAACTTCACCCAAACATTTGGCTTCTCTTGTGGCATTCATGAGTTCTTTCCCTAGCTCCAGCGAGCGTGCTTGCCTTGCGCCGCCTCTCACCGTCAGGGTCCAGTTTTATTGTCTTACTAGTCCGCATACAGCGTCTCGACTTGTTGTAGGCAAGAGCTTCCGATCTTTCTCACCCTCACCTCTGCCCACCGTTTCCGAGCGCGATTTCATTCGCAACTGCTATCGCGGCAATCACCTGACACTGCGCACCTTCGACGGAGTAACCCCGAAGACATCAGCAGGTAACAGCCAAGCGCGTCCTATACAGTTCACTGCACTAACAACCGACTGCCGGTCAGCTCGCGATGGAAGATACTCAAGGGTTCCGCTTCCTCGATCTACCCAAGGACATCCGCCTGGAAATATACGATCTTTTCCCTATCGTAACACGTCGCTACACGGTACACATGCCACATAGTCCATCCACGACGCCCTTCACCCTGGTCTTGAAACGCATCCCGTGTATGGAACTACTCACAACATGTCGCCAGATATTCGAAGAAGTTTCTGCCATGGTAGGGTCAAGGCTAGATGGCCAGCCAATGCGTATCTTCGCCGATGTGGAGGACTTATGGGGCCCTGTCATCAACGTTATATCGCGTTGTACGGCACCTAACGCTCCACACAAGAGCTTCGGATCACGTGTCGAGCGCTACAGTCCTAGTCGCCAAAGTGGCCCCGGCGATCGGGATGTGCCCGAAGTTCCGCCTCAGGCTCTAGCTCGCAGTGCAGCGGCAACTGGCTCGAAGCTGGAAGTTGAGATAGCTCTCGAGCTTGGCGGTAGACTCAGACAGCCTTCCCAGAATTTGCGGCCCCTAAAAGATTTTATTCACCAGTTCTATAAGTGGATTGTGCTCATGGGAGAGGCGCAGCCCTTTCGCTCCCGCCCTATCAATGTCACAATCCGACCCAAGCCGACAGCAAAAATGAGCGAGAAAACGATCAGCGATGGGCGAGTATTCGACTTCAAGGAATACCCGAAGGAGTTTTGGCTTGGTAAGACGTGGACCTGTCAGGTCGGTGAGTGCATGACGGAGGAGGAGTGGCAACGCAACTGGGAGGAAGGGAAGCACTTCGGAAAGTTGAAGCGGATCTAGCAGCTTTACAACTTTGCAGGAGATTATGACACAAGAGAAGGGATGGCCGGACCAAAGCTACGAATGGTTGAGGCATTGCTACCGGGTTGCAGTGTAATGAACCGCCCACCGATGACGTCCTAGTAGGGAGAACCTCTTTCAGGCCTCTCGAAGTCGACGCACAAAAAACGGTTGAGAATCCAGAAAGACTTTCATACATACTTGTTTCCTTTATGCGAGTGTAGTTGAAAGGAGGCTGTGAGAAATGCTTCTGCCAAAGCATTGGTAGTGGCCTCGCAAGACATCCAAATACCACCTCTGTAGCATCCAGATATCTCGAACTATACCATATTGAAGGCCTGAGAATGCAGCACATTGACGCTCCAAGCCCCAAAGTGACCTAATTCGTCATTGCCTCTACCGCACTAGCCCCCCACCCTCTTTCTCCCTACAAACAATCAAGTCTCCATCACTATAAACAGCAACCCCAAAATCGCAAAGCGCAGCTAATTAGAGCAGGTTTACGTACCCACAATGCGCACAAATCCGGCTGAGCGGTCGCCCTACTATCGTACGACCCTCGCCAACGGGTCACCCCACACGCATCCCGGCAACGCCCGAACACGGTGTTCTTGCTGTACATGTCTCGCCACCAAAACTCCTTTGTAGGGGATTATGGAGGCGCATCAGACGATGTGATTGTATATTCGGTGATTTCGACCAATGATGTTATAGACTGTCTGTCGTGTCTCGCGATACCAGGAGCTGGGGTTGAATTTTCGCATGTTGGTATGAGGCGCATGTCTCAATTCCGAGTGTCTTGGGATCACGCAACCAATCTTTGGGAAGAGAGAGTTGGTATCGTCGGCAGGTACCGCCTTTTTGATTATTTTTCGATGAATTGCAATGTGTGGATATAAGGTAAATGGGTTTCTTCCGTTGGTATTCATCATCTACATCCAGTCACATCCATCTTCAGCTATACAACCACATCGACCTCAATTTTTTTCAAATCCCACATACAGTACAAACATCCTGCATACAAAACCAGCCTTTGAAGTCTTTACCACTACCAACCATCAAAATTCCCACCAAGATAACCGAGCAACTATACAACAAACAACACTCAACACTCAACACACACCCAACCAACCCACCCAAAATGCCAGCAGTACCGCGATCCTACCTCCCCTCCTTCGCCGCCTTCCTAGGTAAGCCTCACCACCCTATCTCCTCTTCTCCTTCCTCAATCACATCCAACATGAATCTAACAAACCACCCCAGTATTCGGCATAACCTACACAACCATCGTCGCAGCAAAAGAAGGCGCAGCCGTCGACGGCGCACGCACCCGCTGGCAAGACCAACATGCACGAGCCAGGAACGCATTGAGCGGAGGCATGACTCTAGCGGATATGGAAAGGAAGTAAAAGGAAAGAGGGAGAAGGGGAAGTTCTGTTTCAGTGTTTGTATACTAGGGTAATAGGCGTTCCGGATGCTGGATACAAAGTCCAAGGTATATATCAATTCATCAAGTTCGACGTATGTGTATAGACTTGGACAGTGTGATAATTTTCTTTCCAATGTTTTCAATACAACCTTGGAAATCATGCACCCACGTCTCCGCGTATACATTAACGTGCCTCACCATCCATCCGACCACCACTGCAACAACATACCCCCCACTCCGTCTCCCTCATCTACCACCCACCATCTCCCCTCCACCACCACACATCCCTGCAATTCACCCATACAACCTCCATTATACCCCCAGGGTGACCCCCTATAGCAATCTACCCAGTATACCTATCGGGAGACAATGATAGTACCCGGCGCATGCGTCCCTCATGTCTTAGAACATTGTGTTGGAGGATGTGGAATGCGCAACGTGGAATGTGGACGTGTGATACGAAAATGTTATATTAAAAAACGGTAGTCGGGATGCGATATCGGTATGCAGGGAAGACGTGCGTTGGGTCAGGGTGCAGATACGGGGGAGGAAGGACGGAGGGTTCGGGTGGTTAATCTGGGTAAAGAGTGTAGGGTAGAGGCGGCGTGGGGGGCTGGGAAGGATTGGGACCGGGCGGATGGATGGATAGAACGCATCGCAATACTGTCGTTGGCAGATGAGAAGAAGTCATCACAATGAAGCATGCAGGACAAGAAGTAACTTCATCACTATATTCAATCCCACATCCGCCTCTACGTAACCCCAATTCCGACTACTTCATCGACCCCCAACAGACCTTGGGGTCAGAATATATCTACAAGAAAACCCATTGCCGGTTGAACGCCATCCAGAACACAGTATCAAGGTACGCATGACCAACCATCGCGCAGTACCGAAAGAACAAAGGAAAAGCAAAAAGAAGGCCTACTCGCTGATTGCGGCTGAAACCCAAGTCGCACACGTCGGAACAGCCGACTTGGATATATATGATCAAACAAAGGGAATCGTTACAATCATGTAGGACAGTCTATGAAAACAAAAAATCGCTGCAGTGTTTGAGAAGGAAAGATCAGAATGGGACAAATTGTAGAGTCATTGGCTATAAGTCAAACGACGATGTGATGTCGGCTAATCTTTGCATGGCGGGGCTCATGGCAGCAATCTTCCTCGCAAGACGCTCTGCTAAAAGGGCCTCGTTCGCTTCGTCGGAGATGACTAGCGAGTAGTGTGCGAAGGCCTTCTCGGGGTTGGTGAAGAGTGCCTCGTGGTCCTCAAGCGGTGCGGCGGCAGTGGTGGAGGGAGCGGATGAAGAGTAGTACAGGTCGTACTCGGCATCTACCTCTTCGGTCTCATCGGCGGCGGCGGGAGCGGTGGGCTCAGACTGGACGGGGCGCTCGACGATGGGGTAGTCAGCCTTGACCTCCTCAACAGTCGAGTCGTCCTCGGCGTTCAGGATAGCGCTGTATCCCTTGCCAGACATGGCCTCGATGTCGAGGGGGTTGGTGGGACCCTCAGGCAGCTCAGTGACGGCGAAAGCAACGGGTTGCTGGAAGTTGAAGCCATTGTTAGCACCCCAGTTGTTGCCATTGTTGGTGTTCAGGTTGAGCATAGCAAAGTCGAGTTGGGGCTCGGGGACCATGGTCATACCAACGTGGGTGTTCTCGGCCTGCGACATGCCGTTGAACTGCTGTTGTTGCTGGAACTGAGTGGGGGTAGGAGCAGCGGCGACGGGTGCTGCGGTTGCTGGCATTGAGGTCATGGGGGCCTTGGCTTGGAGCGACTCGTCGCGAGAGAGCTCCTCAAGGAAGGGAGTGAAGGCCTGGTGGCGGAGCAGACGCTCGATGAAAGCGCGCGAGCGGGCGTTCTCCTCCATGAGGAGGCGGTTCTGGGAGCGGAGTTCGTTCGCCTCGTTGACCTTCATGGCAACTTCGCCTTCGAGCTGGCCAATGTATTCTGGTGATGTTAGTTGATGTTACAGGTGTAGTGGTGTCGTGGTGGCTTACCCTTCCTTCTCGAGCGGAAAGCGCGAGCGGAGACCTTGTTACGGAGCTGGCGGCGCTCCTTAGAGCTGAGCTTCTTGCCCTCCTCAGACGCAAGCAGCCTCTCGTCCTCGTCCATGTCCTCTTCGTCCTTCTTTGCGCGGATGATGTGGGGGAGGAGGCCTTGGTTGTCGTTGGCCATGTTGGCAGACGCGTTCTGGCTGTCGGCCCGGATCTGTGCGACGACGCGGGTGATCATCTCCTCGGTGTGGGCGTCGCTGAGCGGGCTCGAGGTCTTGCGGCTGGCCGAGCTGGTGGAGGCCATGCGGTTCTGTTGCTGTTGTTGCGCTTGCTGCTGCTGTTGTTGTTGTTGCTGCTGTTGCTGGAGGGCCTGCTGTTGCTTCTGGTGGGCCAACTGTTGCGCGCGCTGCTGCTGGGCCTGCGCCTGCGCCTTGGCCATGGCAGCCTGCTGTTGATGCATACCGGGCCAGACCCTGACGTTGGTGACCTCCTCCTGTGTGATGGCGCTGGGGTCGACGAAGTCGTCTTGGGCGGCCTCGTTGAAGACGAAGCTGTTCTGGCGGTAGTCGACGGCCATGTTCATGCCGACGTCCATGGGCAGGCCGTTGTTCCAGGCGCCGTCCATCATGGAGTCGCCGCCCATCATGGCCATCTCGTCCAAGCCAGTGGACGAGAACATGGGGAAGCCCGTGTTGTAGCCGGCGTTAAGGCCGGGAAGGGAGTTGGTAGGCAGGCCGGTTTGCTGCTTGAAGCGCTCGTACTCGTGGCTGGGCTTTGCGGGGGTCTGGAGGTCGTCGTCGATGTTTGTGCTGGTGGGACTGGCCATGGTCGACGTCGCACTGGACTCCCGCTTCAAAGTGGCAGGCTGCGTGGGCGAGGGCATCTGGCCAAAGTCGAAGAACTCATTGGGGTCGACGCATTGGTTCGGGTGGCCGTTGAAGGGGGCCATGGTCATGGCAGGCTGGACGGCGGTAGCCATGTCGCTATTGTTTGTTCGACTGCTGGGGAGTCGCTGATCGTGTTTGAGCGGTCCTTAGGCAGGCAAGCGGCAGTCTTGGGGTGTTGTGTTGCGGGCGCTGGGTGCGTGACAGGAGCGGTTAGCCTGCTGGAAAGTCGTCGTCAGCTCGACGCTGGGCCGGTTCTGCCGGAAGTGTGGCTGTGCCGATGGATCCGCGCCTCCTGCGAGCACGTTTAATGTGATAGAGCGAGTGTGTTGGTGGTGAGAGGATTGTTGTTGTTGTTGATGTTGATGCAGAGTGCAATTGTCGGATGAGTGTCTGGTGGAAGAGAAGCAGAGCGAGGGCGAGGATGGGCGGCGGCGGCTTCTTTGCTGGGGCCCTCGCCCTTGCCGTTTCAGACTGAGGCGGAGTCCCCCTTCTCGAAATAGAAGGAAGCAGGCCCAACCCGGTTGGCTCGCTCGCCCGCCGATCACTGCCCTCCGCCCAGCAAACTTCGGCTCTTCCTCTCTCCTGAGCGCCGGGTCATCTCGTCGGCTTCACCATTCTTAGTACACTAGACACAATATCAGCATAATGCTAATTCTCGGATCTCTGCTGCCCCTCCGCGGTGCTTCCACGGCACCAGCCTCTGACGTCACGTCACGGCTGTCATTTTCAGCAACCGTACAAGCAACCCGAGTCCTTCAACAACATCCAAGGCCATGGCACCTAGCTGGCGAGTCTCCGTATACTCTCGTGCAGCTAGGCATACGCACTTGATGCACTGTCGGCGCATACTCGCCGAGCCCGAAAGTTGGACAGACGAATCACCGCCTGCCCTGCTGCACCACCACTGAGGCTGTGCTGTCATACTGCACCCTTCTGGGCACGCTTGCGAACCCCGCTGCTATTCGTCCACTCAGGCCTCTTTTCTCTCTCCTGCGCGAATAACTTCCATGCCGTGCAGCCATTGAGCCACAATCTACCGGCTTGGTGGCGCGGGCGCCCAGTTCGGTCGCATGCCAGCCAGCAAGCAGAGCAAGTGCAAACGAGCTAGAGTCTAGATGCCAACTCTAGACCTCAGCATCTTACTATGCAACGCCTGCACATGACAAAGCCTTCGTATACGTACGTCTGGCGCAGCACTTGCTCACATTCCGCAGCACCACCAGCCATCAAGGCCATCTGGCGTCTACGCCGACGGTCAGCATGAACGCCTCTCCGGACAACCTGCCGCGCCCAGTGCAGCGACAAGTCCACATCCACATCTACCGCGTTATGCCAGCTTTGCGAGCTCACCTGTCAAGTCTGTCAGCGCCAGCCGCAAATTCTGATCTACATGGTCCCGTCCTCTGAGCGGAGTCGGTCTTTAGTCCGGCAATCTCCGTCCCAGTGCCATGGAGTGACTTGACCCGACCAGCTTCCCCGATTCCACTGGCCATGAGACCTTTGAATCTTGAAACACTCGTCTTGAGTCAACAACGACTTAAGACGTCACAGCTGTCACTGCTTCATGCCCGCGCGGGTCCTGCCGCCCAATCAAAACCACCTCATCCCTCCAGCGTAGCCAGCAACCCATGCTAAGATGAGGATAAGCCCTACCTATCAGATCTGCATCGCAGGTACAGGCAAAGCCAGTTTACACGATACCGATTATCGGCCAACCTCATGGAAACTCGTGAAAACGTTTACTGCGCCATTCTCCAGCAGCTGCACAATTTTCGCACTGGAGCAAGGCTGAGCATGGGACGCGTCATCAGCACGCAGAGGAGATTTCAACCTCAATTTGGGAGAGACAATTACAATTGAAGCAGCTGAACACTTGGTGACAGTACTACACGCGGGCTTACACCGGTCTCTCGAACAAGGCCATGCCTACACGTCTTTGTCATGCGTAGCATTGGCAGGCTGATAATCACTTGGCCGGCCTTATACACTTACCATAGACTTACTACAGCCATCGAACTTCAGAAGCATCCAACTGCAGACTTGAAAGATCGTCCCTGCCAACACATCTCTGTGTACCATCTTTGGCGCTCTCT